AGTTCTAAGTTCTCTTTTAAAGCTTATCTTTTTCTTACCTAACCCTGACAGAAGCTGATTTTAACCTATTATAAATAGCAATACTGGCAACAGCGAAAGAAAATACACATGAAGTAGGAGACAAGTTTAATATAAGAAACTAACTTGGCCTGTCTAGATTTCGCAATCATCATCATCAACATTTCTGCTAGTAAGAATCCAAAATATTAAGATTTCTGGGGTCAAAGAACTGATATGGACATTCACAATCTTGTCACCTGTCGGAGCTGGAAGATGCCTCCTGTTGGGACGTCCTTGGCAGAAATCACTTCGACAGGACAGTATTCGCCATTCTCATTCTGTTCCAAGATTTGAACCCAGAACTCCAGTTTCCTGGTGACTTCACTCCACCTAGGAAAGAGTTGAAGCTCTTGGAAGATCATATATTTCTATTTCAACACAGGCAGCATGGGATCCTACACATGAGAATTAACAAGGAAAATGACCTCCAAACACAGCAGCTCAGTATAATGAGCTGAGGTTTGACAGGTCACGTACAAGTACATACTTGCAAATATAATGAAAAGCAAAGTTAAACTGACTTAGTATCAGAACTCGAAATGGCTCCTTCATTTTGTTCAGAAAGATGATAACGACAGATTTATTTCAAAGTGGCCACTCAAAAACTGGAGCATTCTAGTCAGATGCACACAGCAAGTACAGGGATTATCAGGGATAGATAAAGGCAGTGCCACATGCTCCAGTGACTTGACAAGTACCTTTTCTCAGGTCAATAAGAGAATCAAGAAAAAGCATCGCACCTTCTAATTTCGTATTTGCTAAAGCTTTCTAAATGTTAAAAAAAGGGAAAAGACAATCTGGTTCTCATTCATACTTAGATGAAAAATACCAACACATGCTATTTCAGTCATTCCCTTTTAACGCTTCCTCCAAGTCTCCTTCCAGCACTGACGCCACTCAGAAAGAACCAGGAGCTAAAGACAAAGCTGATTGACTAGCAGCCACGCACAGTGATAAGTGACCATTCTCCAAAAATTCATTTCACTGTTTCTTCTTAAAGCACGCTGTATTTAACTTTCTTCTCTCACCCTTCAAAGTTCACTCCCTAAGGAAGTTTAACTGTGTGACCGACACCCTGGAGACACCACCATCTATCCCTGGAATGCTGGTAATGCTCAGGAAACAGGAACCTTTATAAAAATGGTGGTATTTGTCTGTAGCAAATTTTTAAAATTATAAATGAAATCAGATGGATGTCTAAAATTTA